CCACCACATACACTTTATACAAATGAATTATTACAATTTGTAACAACTTATTTTTAACCCGAGAATATAATTTTCTTCATTACCAATAGCTTTTAGTATCTTAAAAATAATACAGGACAGTTGGAGAGAGGCAGAAATTTCCTGTCTTTTTCTGTCCTATGTACAAAATTACATGAGTATACCATTTAAACACACTTTGGCAAGTAATTCAATGCTGATAGACTTCTCCTCTGCCTCACTGGTTCCTGGGTACATGTTTTACTACAATGAAATTTGCTGCATGCCAGCAACATGGCACAAATCAGTCACATGTGCAGAACCAGAAGCCCCAGGGCCTTGGTTTATTGGGGAGAGGGTATTATTCAGAAGCCTGCTCACAGAGGTCCCTGCCTTCTATCTTGTTCACTAGAAAAAGACCCTCTCCCAGTCTGGAAGGTGCTGGAAGAGGATCTTTTTCCAATGAGCAAGTTTTGAAGATACTGAGAGATCACGAGTCCATACCCACAGTCAGAAGTAAGTGGTGTAGTCTGGTAATGGAAACCTACATTCTAGTTCATCTATATGATTGTGGACAAGTCATCCACTGGGCTATGCTAAAGAACACTATCTGTAAAGACAGAGCATCAGATATTAGTGTGACTCCTGTAACTTGGTCTGTAAATTAGATGTTATCATAGCTACTATGAATTCATACCAGAGCACCAAACAGAAACAAAGCCCAAGTCCTTACAACAGCCATTCTGAGTTGACCTAAAGGGCTTCTCATATTAATCTCAAAAGGGAATTAATATCATTTTCTTTAATTTACAGCTTGCAAAACAAAAACTTGGGGATGCAAACGAGATGGTCTAGATCACATAATGAAACTGTAAAAAAGAGTGTGACTGAACCCACATTCCAGGATCCCCGTCAAATTCTTTAGGCATTACATTGCACTTCTTTGCAGGAAGATGTCATCCTCAAAAAGAATAGAAGTCTATATTAGATAATACAGTGTTTACTGTACCACCAAGAACTAATGACAGGGAGAGAAGAAAGAACATCAAGTCCTCCTCTAACATTCTTGGCTTTTTTATTATTTTCATTTGCGGTTAAATTTAATATTCCTAAAAATGAAGGCCTTGAAGGCACCAGCCAGCTGGATCCAAGAATTTCGCAAGAAGAATTAAGAAAGTTTCTTAGCACAGCACTATAACAGCCTTTCTAGAGTATGCCTGGCCAAAGCTCGCCATTGTGAACACAGCACCACTGAACTGGTATTAAGCAGAGTGTTCAAAAAAAGACTAAAATCACCATCAACAGGGTCATGTAACGAAGATGTAAATGTACAGGAGTCTTCAAAGCATGAGCAGAATTCACCACCATCCTCTGCAGAGAAGACACTGGTGCAAGACAATGCTCTGTATCCATGGGTGCTTTCACCCAAATTATTTCCTTCTTATACAGTTCATACTGTTAGTTGAACAAGTTCAACTGGATTTACCAATCCTATCAGGAGACAGGGAACTATTTCTTCTCCATCTGACTTGCTCAGAAGTTTATCCTCACTTCTATCTGTCTCTACTACTTGAGCCCTGGAAAAGTATATATGGAGCATGCATTACTGTAGAGAGAGGTTTTCTAATTATACGCTTTCTTATTGATTAACAGAGCTCTGACAATTAAAGGGTGCAGCATATGCCCCAGGGGTGTGAACAATACCTCTGCTTTCTACAACACTTGACACACAATCCAGATTTTCAGTATTATTAAAAAAAATAATAATTTCAACGAACCATAGTATTATTTTTGCTTTAATACTGATATTTACAGGAAAATGATGAAGTTCATTATTCAGAAATAGAGACCAGTTTATGAAAGGGTGGTGGTAAGCTGAGGCACAGAAAGACGTAAGTGTTCTACAGCAACAAAACAGTGGCAGTGGTAAAGGACAGAAGACTGAATTTCACCCCTATCATATAGTCTCTAGATTACAGCTATTTCTGTTTCACTCTACTGCAACCCTAATCCGTTCCAGCGCAACTTGTTTCCTCTTCTGTTGTCTGTTATTCTTAGAAGGCAGCAGACAGGTCTGCAAGAATATCTAACGTAACTGAACGCTCTTGTGCTGTGCAGGTATTTAAATCAATTTATGACTATGCAAATCCTACAGAAAGAATTTTACATGCTGGATCAAATACCTCTGTCAGCACTCTCCGGGACTCCCTGGGATCAACAACTGTTCTCACCTCTCCACATTAGTTAGCGTGTCGCAAGGAGCATAGCCCCAGTCCAAATCAATGGCTCACCCACTACTGTACGTGCTGTATGAGAGTAAGGCCATGCTGCCAACAAAAAACTCGGGCAGAGGAGACAAGGGAGGTGATGTTAAAACAGATGAACTTGGCAGGATGGGAGAGAAGAGCTGGGTCAGGCAACAGAGAGAGCAGAAACGGCACAGCGCAGGGATGCTATTTACAGCTTCCTTTAACAGGGGATGACCTTCAATATGGTGTTACTCTTGATTTGTTATTCCTAATGTGATGGAGAGGAGAGGCAAGGCTGAACTGTTGAACTTGCACACAAGGCTTTACTCAAATAGATAAAGGAGGATTTTAGGGTAATACGAGTTTGGTTGTTTAGTTTTTGTTAAGGCTATGATTTAAAACTGTTTGCAACAAGTTGCTCCACGGTTTTAACACCGGAGGAGTTAACCACCCTGAGAGATGTGGGAACGTTTCAGTAAATTCACCACAGGACACGGACAACCACATCTTGCAAAACAGCAATTGTGGTGAAACAGAAGCACAACACGCTGCCTCCGAACTTTGACCAAGGGCACAACCTGACAGGTGAGCCGTGCAGGAATGACAAGGAGCACGTACACTAATGGGTGGCAGCTGCACACAGGGCTATAACTGGTGGGGTCCCGGTGCCACGTACCACAGGGTTTGAATACAACTGTTGCTCAGCTGCTCTGAAATGAGGCAGCTCAAGTGAGATTTGCCAGTGCTGGTGAAGGTTCTAATATTGTCCCAAGAAGAACATGCCTGTGAATCAGGCGTCTGCAGCCATTTCTGATATGCTTATCTCTAGAATCTTCCATCAGGAGCGTGGATTGCCCTACAGAGGACGTGAGCCTCCTGGGAGTATACCTGGTTTTCTCCTTAGTTTGGCTGATGCCTTCACAAGTCAAAAGACTCCTTCCCACCTTCCCAGCTCCTCCCATAGCCCAATCTCCTTATGGTTGAGGGTTCAAGAAGCCTGAGAGCAAACAGCCACTGACATTTACATTTAAACCAAAGAGCCTTTCAGTTTCCACCTGGACCTCAGGCTCACAGCCCAACACACTGCAGGAGAACGCTCCTCTAACTGCAGTCAGCTCTTGAGGACCACTAAGACAGCCCTAAGCATGCAGGTTGGATGTAGCCTGGATGGTGAAGAAACAGTACCAGGTGAGGAACTGGTAGAACTGAAATACTAGAGAAAGCATAAATAGCACAACCAAAAGATCCAGGTAGTAAAATCAATGCCATCGTGCATGACATTAATCGGAGTAAGCTGAGTAGCTGGAATTCTTATTAAAAATATCCGTATCCATTGAAGGGTTCTTGCTGAGGAATAAAAGAAAGGTGATTTAGATATTAACTGTGTTGCTACATAGCAATTGCTGTTCTACCAACTGCTTGCACAAGTTCCCTACCAGCATGTTCTCCAGACGACAAGGGATGTGCCACAATAGTACACACAGCTGCACTCTGTGCCTCATAAAGCCTGCTCTTCAGGAATGCATACAACAACGTAAGAATTGGAGATGACAAATCTCATAAGTCTTAGTCAGCTGTGAGCAACTTCACACATACGCCCTTTGCCTCTATGGCCATCAAGTTTTTCCCACTGATAAGACTGGTGTATTGTGAAGGTAAACGAGTTAACGGCTGAAACCAGGACAGACTGTGAGGAGAAAGCCCCTGAAGTCTATCTCTCCATATACTTCTTTGGACATTTGCAAGTTTCCAGTGCTCTGGGAAGCAGATGCCTGTGCTACTTCGTGATGAATAGTCATCTACTATTCAGGGAACTGGTGCCAGAGGGTCAGACCCAGAAGTCAAACCTTTTCATCTCCTGTGTACTACCCACAGGTGGGAGGAAGCAGAAAAGCTCTGTACTAGAGCAAGGAGAATACTGACTCCATTAAGTAAAATAATTTCTGCATCACTAATTGTAGAACATTAGGCAGAGCAAAGAGAACATCATTTCCCAAGAAAGAAAAATTGTCAAAACAGCAGAATTTGTCTGAGCCATTTTTCCACCTGACAAAAGCATATTCCATAAAATTCTGAAAATATCTTTTTTAATTTTGCTTCTCTTTGAAAGAGAAGAAAAGAATATACATTTTATCAAAGACATCAATCAGAAGCAACACCTTTTCAAATGATAAAGGTGTTGCTTTATCATTTTTTTATCATTTCTATCAGCATTCAGTCGACTGACAGGAATTCTTTGGGAAAACAGTTTTCTGTACCATTCTGTCCTGTATATTTCTGACCTTCAATGAAACCTTGAGGGGAAAAAAAAAAAAAGAAAAAAAAAAGGGGAGTCTCAGCACTAGAGGACAAAATCACAATAACCTTGATGTTACAGAAATTAGCATTCCAGGAACTGGGAAGACTAGACAGAATTGGGCCAAATTAATTCAGTACCTTCTGTCATGAAGAAACGGATGTCAAGGACTCTGCAAACACCTGTTCCTCTTTGTGAACAGCACTCATGCTCTTAGAATGACATCAGGACAGTATTTGGTGGGAAAACAGTTCTTAGTAACCTTACTAATACAACAAAAAACCTATCCAAAGGTGCAAGTCCATTTTAGACTGACAAAACTATTTTTGTTGGGCAGCAGTGTGCCAGGGAGCTCTTTTCATCAAACCCTACCAACAGCACAGGAAACAGATTGAATTTCCTGCACCAGCATCACCCTCCTGCTTGAAATGCAGAAGGACTATGAAAGAACCACTCACCTGGAACCTCTGAACCAACTCCAGTGACTGGCTGTCATTCTGGTCTGCTTCAAGGATGACATCTGTCAGTTTATGTATGATCACATCCAAGGGGCCCTGATCTTCAATGGGCTTGGTGAGGTCAAGCTGAAGAAACCAGAGAGAAACCTTTTATTAATATATGGAGGACCTGAGGTTTTTGTACCTGCCACCATCCAAGGTATCACTGCCACAAAGCATTCACTTTACATACTGCCTTTATTTTGGTATGTTACCCAAATCCCTGAGAATTTACATTTCACTGAATGTCAGAAAACTTTACTCAGACATTTATTTCTCCGCAGTGTAGATCTAATCCCGTGAAAAAACAATGAAGTCATTGGCAAACACCCTTCATGCAAACACCTTCCTGTGCTTCTCCACTCTGAGCCAACATTTCCCTCTTCAGCCCTGGTTCCCGGTGCTTACACATACATGCAACGAGAATGAGCCAGCAAAGATTATCACCAGTAATAAAAGGAACACCCGCTGTGCCCTTCGCCCTTCGGGATTGCACAAAAACAAAACACCACCCAGGACAGTAATACAGGTAACAGACAATGCAGGTGACTCAGGATCTTTGCAAATTCATCTGCTGCAGGGACAGCTATTTGGCTGGTAAGGAGAAGCGCAGGTCCCAGAGCACTCCCACTAGCAGACTTTGGCAGTTAGCTGGATCGGGGACAATGACTTGGGGTGGGGTGTGCAGAAACTCGGCTCCAGACAGATAGGAAAGCATGTGGTGGTGTGTCACAGGGCTTGGGTGCCAGTACCAAGACAGGGTTCAAGGAGCAGAGGAACCACCTGCACTGGAAGAGGGTTGCGTTAGGGATCTCTTGAGGAAATCTTAATGCAACGAAAGCTATTGGACCTGATGGGATGCATGCAAGGGTACTAAGAGAACTGGCCAATGCCACTGCGAGGGCTTAGATTTATCAGGACATAAATCAAAACTGTGGAGATTCCAACTAAATCAGGAAAAGAATTCCACCATGAGGACAGTTTGGCTGTGGCACAGAGTACCACAGAGGCTGCAGGATCTCCATTCTTCAAGGTTTTCAAGACCTGACTGGGCAAAGCCCTAAGCAAGTTAGATTAAATTTAATGCTGAATCTGCTTTGATCAAGATGATGTATTGTATTACGGACCCCTGAGGTCCCTACCAAACTTAATGATCCCATGAAGCTACTTGCCAGATTTGAACATTTGTACAGTCTAAGTATCCAAACTGGCTCATGTCCAACCCAACACACTGGGCTGCCCACAGCACAAAACCTGCCACTTTATCAATTGCTCTTCAACCAATTGTGTGATCTACTGTATCAGTGGCGACTTAACCTTGTAGACTGCAAACCAGGAACATCTTTGAAATGTCAGACAGATGTGTGCTTGCTAAATTAAAGTTAGCATTTGATTCTACAGTTACATGCATAGTCCTTTCCATTGCTCCTATCCCTTTTTTAACTCTGGCAGAGAAGGGGGTTGGGGGCACAGGAGGGAGAGGAGGGCTGGGCAGAGAGGCTGCTGATGTTCTGTTTTGAGAACCCTAGTCTTCACTGTCTTTTTAGCTTGAGTTTTGTCCTAATAAAATTTCCAACCCTACTGAAATGGCCCTGCTTTGAATTAAGGAGTGCTTTAAGGAAGGTAATGATATGACAGGATGGCTGGAGCTCAAGCACCAATAAAACTAAACCAGCAGAGATCTAGCAGCCTTGTAATAATTGGCTAGTTGTTCATCTAACTGATCCAAGTAAGCAAATCGCTTTTCTTGTGTAGGCACTCTTATCTGGGCCAGGCTTACTCTATTAGAATAACTGAAGTTACCCATGGCACGAAAGCAAACTGAAAGACAGACAGTTCTTCCCAGCAGAGACCACCTTTGCTTGCCCATTACTATCTGCTGCTACTAACAGCTACAGGTTGAGGTTCTAGTACTATCACAGATTCTAACACAACTGCAAAAACATATTGTGCATCTATCTTCCAAAGGGACTAACACAGGCACTGCTCACAGCTGGGCAGCAGACTCCCCACACGCGAATATTACGCAATGGTAAAGACAAACAAGTTGGACTTGATGTGGATGCTCAGTGATGGGTAAGTTGTGGCTGGGTGAGACAGTCCACAGAACCTTTGGCTGTCCTGGCACTTATATTTTTACTCCCACAAGTACTGCAGCACGAAGGCTAAGGGCAAGCGTAAGCTTCTGCAAAATTAAGGCAAAATGAAGTGAACTGCAGCTTGGCTAAGGACATGGAAGAAGATGATCTACTTCTGCAACCAAGTTCCAGAAAAATCAGTTAATATCCTTAAGAGAAATCTCAGATGACCACACTGCTTTTCCTGAGGTTTTTTCATCTGCCTATCACATCTGGAAGGAAGCAGCAAAACAAAGGGCCCATTTAACTGGGTCAGAAAGTTCCCAGTTGCCAAGGTACAAATATGTGAATTAATCCCTATTTTCAGGACTTCCAGTTTGAAAAACAGTGAGAAGCAAATAAGTGTTTGATTGGTTACCCCTCTACATTCTTCCTGCAGTTGCAGCTCAATCTGCACGGAGACATTGAGAAAATAAGAAAACAGTCCTCCCTTTCAGCCTTGACCCAAGAATAGAAGTAAGCCTCAAAGGCACATCCAGGCATTTTCAGCATAGTGTCTTCCAGAAGCACAAGACATCTGGGCAAGATAACTTCTTCACAACAACCATGCCAGCCAAAAGCAACTGGCATATTTTGAGAATGAAACCAAATGCACCTAACTTTGCACATCAGAAAGTGTTAAAAAGGTCCCCCCGTAACATTGCTCTGCTTCCCCTGCACCAGGAAAGCAATGCTAGGAATGACACCACGCTAAGGCAGCTCCTCCAGTAGGAAGTTCAATGACCACTTCAATTGGCTCAACAAGGGCAGCAGGTACCTTTCAACCACACAAACCTTCAAAATTTGATCCAGTATTTTGTGGATTGGAGGATCAAACTGTTTGCAAGAATGAGTTCTCTGTGTTCTGGGCCATGCTGCAGAAAGCAAATATCCCTGGTCTGTGCGGAATTTGGAAGAGATCCACCTTCCTTTTATATACCAAGAAGAAAAAAAAAAAAGGAAAAGAAAAAGAAGGAAAAAAAAATAGGGTTTGAGGGGGGAAAAAAGAAGTCTTTTCAAGTGGAGTATCAGACCCAAGCAGAAGTCAGTGAAAGTAGAGTGCAAAATTTCTGATGGCCCTCTGCTGAGACAAACACTGATTCATTGTTTGTCATCAGCTGGAATTTGAGCCCTCCTACTTCCCTTCTCTCTCAGCATCTCTCTCTCCAAACGATCTTTGCATTTGACATGATCACCCAAAGGTTTGTTTTTGCACAGAACTAACACCATAGCAACAGAAGTGAGAGAAAAGATTTATCAGCACCAGCCTGAAAAAACAGAGAGATATGGTTATGGTGCCTTTTCTTCTGTGAAGTCAGCTACAGCCTATTCTGCTTGCCTTTTTTTATATTTAAAAAAAACCCCAAACAAACCAAAACAGAAAACCAGGTATTTCATGGCATTATCACTTGCCATCAAAACCCAGCAGAAATCAGGTGAATGACATGGAAGACAATGTCAAAACTTTACACAGAAAATGCCAGACACGAGGCATATGCCTTTCCAGGTCTTACAAACCCATATATGGAAGAAAACAACCTCTAGATAAACGTTGTTATTGTAGCTGGCTATGGCCTCCTCACCTTCTCATAGAAAGACTGGCTGGGTTAAAAAATGCTCCAAGCTTAGAAATCTTACAGTCTGCCCTATAGATCTTCCCAGAGCATCCACTGGAGAGCAAGTTACAGGCATATAGAGCTCCATCTCTGCCCTCTTCTCCCCTTCCCCCTCCCTCTGTCCTCCAGAAACACACAGCCAGCACATTATCCAAATCATTACCCAGGAGGGTAAAAAAGAGTTTATTTCCATTAAGCATAATTTGTTTAAAGTTTTGGGGTTGTTTTTCTCCAGAACGCTGGCAATCCATCTATATTGCAGGGACAGGGCGAGTGCCTGGCAGAGCGCCACGGCTTTCCGCTGGTCCCAACTGCAATCCCACACGCATGCATTTCTGGAAGCCGTGTTTAAAAATAAAACTATGTCCAAGTAAAAAAAAAAAAATCTGGATTCGTTCACTCAGGAAAAAAACAAACAAGTGCAAATGTTGGATTTAGCAAAAAGAAATATCATTTATCTAAGTGATTAAAAATAGGTTTGCATTTTTTGTTTTATTCAGTGTTTCCAGTCCACGCTATAATCAACTGCATTTCAGAATCTGGCTGAGCAGGATTTGTGTTTTTTAAAAGCTCTTCTTTAGAAATAGTTTTTGGATTATCATCCACATGAAATGAAGTCTTAATACCAACCTGTTCTGTTCTCTGAAGACAGATCTGTCCACTGCTACATCCCTGAGGAATTTATGACCCATCTCCCCATTTCTATTCATTCTCCCTTTTCGCTTAAAGTATTTTCATTTTAAAAAAAACCCAACAAACTCATAAATCTATTGTTTAAGAATTTTGCTTCCAGTCTCTCAATTAGCTAACAAACTTCACCCACCAGGATGCTGCACTAAATTCTAGCTTTGTTTCAGTTTTTATTTGATGCACTGCTTCAGAGCAACAAGGAGTGCATGTCCCTCCACAGCAGCCTGTCTTGCTGCAGGTGGAAAAAGCTCAGGAAACTTTCTCCCAAAGGAGGTGAATGAAAGTAAGGAGAAAATCATCAGAGGTGACTAGGCAGATACCGCCAAATCATCAGGTGTTCTCTCAAGTGCTAGAAAGCTTAATGAAGTGCCACCAAAGGGCAAGAATCTGTCCAATTTTCCGGTAGAGAAATGTCAATGCTCTGCTACACATTTTCACAAGTCACAGTTCAAAAGTCCTTTTGTGGCAATTTAACCATTTTCCTCCCTGTGAACCGGACATACAGCACCAGCCTGACCTGACCTCTCTGCTCCCTGAGTCCTGAGGCTGTATGTGGAATTTTCTACACAAATCTGTGGTATCCTGTTATTCAGACACGCCGTTAAGGCTGCACTGACCCCAAAACATGTGGGGTTTATTTCATTCTTAATTCAGCTTCTTAAAC